CATATATATGTGTCGCTGCAGCTACCTGCAGCATATATATGCGCCTTTACCAGGAGAGGCAAGGGGGGCAAAGGTGCCCTTTCAATTTAAAGGATTGCCTTGGCGAAATAGCGAATTCTCAGAAATGTTAGTGCAATTCTTTTACAAATTTGCTTCAGAAAACGCAAGAAATGCAGTCATCAAGCTTCAAGAATAGCACAATCGCCTGGCAGAGAACCCCTTCACACCCCTATCATCCAATAAATAGAGCACATGATTAGACGAAGTTCAACTTCCGATGTTTTGCAAACATCTCTTAGTATATATCAATTCAAAAGCGCCCTTCCACGAAAATCTGCCCCCCCCCTTGCCGGCGTCCCTGTATATATGCATAGTTTAACTAATAAGTATGCGCCATAGGGCAGCAGATCAGGCCATACCTATGATTCTGAGACAACTGAGTCAACCACCAAAGATAAGAGCCTCTAGATGGGTCTGGGGGAATGCCCCCAGAAATTTTTGGATTTCTTGAAGCTCAGATAAGCTATTTCCAGCACTTTGAGGAGTTTTCCAACAAGAAATTAACCTTACACTAGTCCCTGAAAATCAAACAAGCTGATCTTCTGGTACTGGTCAAATCGATCCCTGCAACCATGCTGTTTTGCAACATTTTTTCCCCAGCAAATAATGGGGCAGGATATTTTTTCCCTCAGTTTGTTAGTACAGGTATGTTTTTTGTTTAGAATGGCCTTGCAGGAATATTTTTTCAAAATCACCCCCTCCCCCCCTCAAAAGTTAAATGGTCGGCCCCTAAAGTCTTATAAACGCCACTTTATAGAGAACACTAACCAATCACATTGCAGAACAAAAATAGAAATCTAATCAAACTAAAGCTCGTCCAATTATCAAAAGAAAGCATAGAGTTCGCTTCAGGAAGCCAGTAACTGCAGTGTTTACTTTTCAAAATGCTGTGCGGAGTGGTTATATTACTACCTTAAAAAACAAGCAGAAATTCGACGTTTAGAGCGAAGGTCCTTGTTTTTAATTTGGCCTAATGCTAATTGGCTAATGCGCCGTTGATTTTTTCTATTTTTGTTCTGTAATTAATGTGATTGGTTAGTGTTCTCTAAATGGGCCCACTTACTGTAGATGCACTGTAAAAAATATTTAAGGAACTGACTTTTTAGAAAGATAACAGTATAAATATCGCGGAGAGCACGAGTACAATAAGGGGCGGACCATTAGAAAAGTGATGGGTGGGGGGGGGACATTTTCAACTTGTACGAATATATTTTTTTTAGTTTTTTCCTTGTGTCGATAATTTTTTTAAATATAATCCCTTGCACGAATTTTTTTTATTTCAAATTATAATTTTCCCTAGTGAAAAGTCTCTGCACGAATTTTTTTTTCAAACTTTTTTGGTGCACGAAGTTTTTTTTCTTTCTGTTTCTACTGCTCGATTTTTATTTTCGATCGTTTTCTCAGCAAAAACAGTTAGCTTAACATCGTTCACATTGCGTTTTTATCAGTTATGCGGCGATTTCTTGCAAGTAATTCGCTGGTAGCCTGGTAATTCCGCTCTCGATGATTGCGATTACGGAAAATAGGCTTTGGCGTGGCCATGCGCCAGCTGGAGAGTCGAGAGGGACAGGGCGCCCCTGTTCACCAATTCGCCATTTTGTCCCGGGGTCCGTGGTTCGGGCTCTCGCCGGCCTTGGCCATTTCCTGCGCTGGCCTAGCTATTCAAATAATTCAATGTTGCTATAGTGTTTGGGCTTGGAAAAACAACATCGATTGGGGAGGGTGGAATTAGGTGATAAACATGTGTACGTGATAACCGTTTGCAGTGATCCCAATAACTTTTGAAAGTGAAAGAGAAGGCAAGTAGCGGGCAAACTTTGGCTGTTGGTGGGTGACGTCACGTGGTCTGTTTTAATTTAAGTTAAGAAAATAGTAGAGCTCATCGACAACCTTACAGACCATGTCAAGTCCGTAATTTGTTTACATTTTGAACTGCTATATTTGTAAAATAAGACATACTAACTGAATATCTAACACTTTTCTGGTTCGCTATTGTAAATGAATATAAACTAGAGTACGTTTCAATTCAAAAAAGTTCGAAAGAAAATTTGGGCAATGTTTTGATATCTGTGGGTCCCCCTTTGTTATGAGCAGAACTGATACGCAGAACGGGACTTGATGGTCTTTACGTATATATATATATATATATATATAGAACCAATTAATAATGGTTAATTTATGATACTGATGTAGTTTACAGGAACGCAAACCTGCTAATATTCAACGTTTAAAGTTGCTATTAAAATAAGGCGAGGGTCTACCCAAACAGTGACGGAAAATTGATTTTTTTGGGGGGGTTAAAACATAAGTTTAGATCTTCATTTAACCACTGCCAAAAAATTGGGGGGTATTTCTCACGGATTTTGTGTTTTTTTCAACATTTTATGACTGTGTATTTAAAATTTGCATGCGTTACTATGGCAACGGACATGGCATTTTTTAAAATTTTCATTGTTTTTTGGTATAATATGTCATGTTTGCTAAAAATTGAAGAGAACAGTCAAGAATGGTCTGCAAACTCTCTGTTCAGCGGCTGTTACTTCAAAACAATGCATTGTCTAGCGCATTGTGGTTTCTTGAAAAGCGAGCTCACCCAACAGCAAGTTGAAATATTTTCTGGTGATGTTATAAAAGCGTTCTAGTTAGTCAAATGATTAGTAAAAGAAGGAGAAGTGTCTATCGTAAAAGAGTTGGCTGTGTTGGTTTGTAAAAGCAAGCGTCTGAGGACAATCAATCGTCCTTGGGTGATCAAGATGTTGATAGTGATTCTGATTCACAGAGGTCTGACTTGGATGACACGCTTGCCGATAAAGGTGCAACTACACCTCAATTAGAAGGAACTCCAACACTCATTAATGCATTAAGATGGAAATTGAGTCAGCATAGCTGCCTTGGTACCCCCAAAAGATGCTAGAGAAGAAAGAATTGCCGACCAAACCTCTGCATACAGTGATACACTGATTGTTAAGGAGAGTGGACAACTATTAATATATATATTGTTTACATTCATATGATTGTTAAGGAGAGTGGACAACTATTAATATATATATTGTTTACATTCATATTAAAATAATTAGTGTTTTGGACGAGCAAAAGTACTGGGACGAGAGCGTGTTCGTGGTTCGAAAACTTATCGTAAAAGGTTTATTTATCGAAGAACAAAAGTGTTATTTTCTCGATTATTTTATAGTTTCTTATTAAATTGTTTATGAGTTTATTATTATACCGAGCGGAGCTATCGTCTACTAAACATTTGGCGATCCTGCCAGGACGAATAAAAGAATTTGGCGTCTAATTTACGTGTATACTTCGTTGGAATTTGCGTGCGAATATTTCGTCGTGACAGTTTTGGTGTTATTATTGCGGGTTATCGTCTATCGCTTGAACGTTCGTGTCTTTGTTGGCATTATCGACTATTTGTGGCAGCAGCTAAGTAAAAGAAACTGGAATACTATAAACTTTGAATATTTGTCGTAAAAATGTGAATTTTCAGGCCTTTGTATTAAAATATGTTTGGGATCGTATTGCATAATATATGCTAATTTATGCAATATATTCAGGTTTGATGCTTGAGGCATGATTTATGCCAAATTTTCTACATAGTGACATTGGTAAACAGGAATTTTCGAAAGACATACATTAGAGGAGTAACATTCTACCTATACCGTTGAAAATAAATAATCTGGTCGTTTGTTATAACAATAACTTTGCTAATATTTTAAATTGTGTGACTATTAACAATGTCAGGGGATGAGTCAGAACCGATTCAAAGCAGTGTGGAGCAATCCACTGTTGATGAGGGTATGAAAAACCTTCATATTTCCCTGGAATTAGGTCGTCGCAAACGTGCAAGTAAATGGGATACAACAAAAGTAAGACATCAACTTGAAAAATCATTTAGTGTGTCAAAAGCAACGTTAAACAAAGAAGAGATTGAGCATAGGGTAGAGGATTTATGATCGTCACTAGAAGAGACACAGAATATTATGGATGAATTGTCTGTTTATTACTTGGGGAAAAAGGACGGTGAAAATCAAAAGGCGTTAATGAAGGAATCAAACGAACTAGAACTGGAATGTCAACAAGCGATCGAAAAGGCACAGGCTGTTCTGATCTCAGGATGTTTTGAAAGCAACGCTACAGTCAGTCAAGACAATGATAATGACGAGGTAACTAATGGTACCAGTTCTGCTGGGAGTAATTTGATTAACGAAGGACAGACACAACCCGCTGTGACCAGTATCACTGAGCAACAAGCGATGCAAGGCGCAATAGGAACTAGTATGATACAGCAAACAGTGGAGCAGAATCAATCGAGTTCATCAAGTCCAACACATACACCATCGTACACGGGAGGTTCAGTTCTAAACCGCCATTTAAAACCACTAAGAGTACCTGATTACAATGGAAATAAAGCAAAATTTGAAGAATTTTGGAGCCTATTTGAAAGTTTAGTTGACAAATCGAA